ACTCCATGTAAGTGTTATGTACACCTCTAGGTATATTTAATATGTACTTGTAGCATTTTTCTGAATAAATAAATGCCTTGCCCAAATAAATCCCACACCTCCTATGCTTGCGTGAATTCCGCCAAGGTTTTTTAGTCTCCAATTAAATTCCAAGTGCTCCCCGTAATCTCAAGTTTCCAAGTCTAATTATTTTCCAAAAAGCAAATCCTCCCATACATATGTTTTGTGGGCCTTTAATTCCATGATTAGCAATTATGGGCCTAAATTGGGCTCGTATGGAACACCCCCGTACTGCGTCGAGTAAAATTTCATTTAGTGACATGTAGTCCACCAAATTACTCTAATATTCTGAAATTAAATCATAAAAATATAATAGCACTCAAATTCATCCAATAAAATTGATAAGACGAAAATTATATAAGTGCAACAAAATTAAATATATAAAAATACGTTATTAAATATATAAAATACACACTTTTTCCGACTAATCAATCTCCCAAAACTTGAACCATTGCATGTCCCCAACCCCAAGCAACTTGTAACTATAAGCACATAGATGGACAAAAGGTAAATACATGGAACTTTACTCAGGACCTCACAATTCTCACATAAGTACATAGTTCAAACAACTCAAATTAATTTATCCGGACTCAAGACGAATTTATTTTAAGAACTCAAACACATCAAGTATCAATTCAAATGAGCATCATAGTTCATCAATCTCTCTAACGAATGTATCGATCAATGCAACTAATGACACACATCTCTTTGCTAACAAGTCAAGTTCCCTTGCGTTCTCTATTTTTTTCTCTCTTTTTTTTCTTTCTTTTTTAAAGTAGGGAACGACAGCTCCGTCACAGCCCGTGGATTTTAGCCTTTAGTGCACGTCTAGCCACGAAAATTGTTGAATTTATGCACTAGAACCTCCACGGATTGGCAGCTGTTACAGCCTATACATCTTTTTTTCTTTTAATGCCAAACGACTTTTCAGCTCAACGTCAATTGATTGGTTAAAACTGATGAATTTTTTTAAAAAATCATGTATCTCAAGCATGCTCTAAGTCAATTTTTTCGATCAAATGCTCTCATTATTAGTAGGGCGATTGGCATTGAAATTTTGCACGCATACATCCTTTTGATCGCACATATGGCATTTAAACGCCCAAAATTAATTTGCCAATGTGGGTGCTCTTAATATTATTCACTTATCCATTTGCATATAATGAGACGGATTAGCGTTTACACTAACTTTTGCAGGGCACATGTGAATTTCTACGATTGACGACGGAAAAGAGAAAAATTGCTGCTCTACCTATACTGAAAAGGTGTGATTGTCTGCACGTAAATAATAATTCAAATGGGAGTTTCAAAAGGCATATCGCCAAGGTACAAAAGTATATAGCATAACCCCTCCAGCTATCACAATCTCTCAACAAAATATTTCAACAAATATTTCATTGTAATCTCTATCCATTCTGCCCTTTAATGCTTTATTGTCTACAATCTTTTCCTTTTCACAAAAATATTTACACCGAGACAAGAAAGAGGTAAAGCTACAAACTTTACTACTGTTTTAGGAGTTTTTGTCTCAACTTTTGCCCACCCCGCCTGCTGCCAGAAAATATAGATAAAACACATTTCATTTTCACCGCCCTCGGCTGTATATATTTTTCTCAATTTCTTAATCTTCAAAGATTTGTTCAAAAGGGATTCGAACACTGTAATCAGCCTGACTACGAAACCTTAGTTTTGTCTTATTCAGATGTAAATTATTGGTTTAATTTCTGACTCAGATGTAAATTATTGTTTTAATTTCAATTAATCTAGTTAGGAATGTAACAACTGGAGAGAACCCTTATAAGTTTCCGGCGGGCTCTTTGCGTCGATCCACTCCTTCTGGCCATGGTCTAAATCCGGCACTGAATCCTATCTTATACCGACTTTAAATTATAAATTATTTATATAATATTAATTAAATTATTTATATAAATTTATTATTTGATAAATAGAAAAGAACGCAACCTCAAAACTTATTAGGCGGTTGATTTTGCTACCCCTCAATGCATTCCACAAATATTACTCTCACACAATTATACTAAGAAAGGTCTTGTTTTTATTTCCATTATATTTTAAATATTTGAGTATGAAAATATCTAAATTTGTTGGAATTAACAAATTTTTGTTTCAGATATTATACTGTTCAAGCCAGATAAGCCATCAACTTAAATAGAGTTCACGTTCTCTAAAATTATGCTAAACAAATGTAAACTACATCAAGAATATTAGAATGGGACATTCTTTTTGCTTTGAGAAAAATGGAATGAAGTTCAAAAGCAGTAAATATTAAAATGCAGAAACACGACCGCTTTTATAGCAGATAACCCAAAATAAAAAGCAATAATTCATCACTCATTCTTCAGTCATTAGCTATAATGGCTCGAGTTGGAAGCACTGATATCAAAGCAAGAAAATGAGAAAACCATAAACATAATACTAATAAGTGCTCTTTTTCTTCACCTAGCACTTCGACCTACACTCACTAGTCTCCCTTTATAAAAAAAAACGCATATATTATACTTACAATAATTATCTCTCTATCCGATACATCTTGACCCAAGTCTCTCATTGTTTCTCCTACGAAACGACGACGTCGAGGGTACTGATGAACTCACGGATGGCTCACTCACAGACCGACATAAAATTGAAGATGGTTCAATATCTACGAAAATATTATTTCAGTTAAAAAAGAAAGCAGATTATTAATTTTTCTGATAATTAGAATAATGCAATAGTTGAAACAAAAATTTAATTACCCCTGGAGGCGTTGAACGATCTCTTGCAGTGCAAAATGGCGCCTTGGATCCCATCGTGCAGCTGCACCAGTGAGTCATCCCGGCGGTTCGACGCCGCCTTCCTGAGTGGCGACGCAGCTACCGAGGCGGACGCCGATCGGCTCTTCCCTAGGTGCTTCCGCACAACCTTGAGCCCCGCCTGCAGGTTATTACCGCCGCTCCCATGCTTCTCCTGAGGCTTCGTGTCGCCACGCGCCGCCACCGCCCCCGCTGCAGCCGAGATTTTGGAGCCACCGCCTCCCACCGACTGACCGCCGGCGAACTTCAATTTCTCAACGTAACGCTTGGAAACGCGAAGTTTCACCATCTTCAAGTACTTCTGCAGCACCACCTCTTTGGTCAGCTTTCTCTCGTCAACATTGTTACCTTCAGCCAGCACACGGCCATGGCCGTTTTCTTTCGCGCTGTTGTCTCTGGTGAACAGGGACATGAGAGGCCCCTCCTCAACTCTCAATTTCACCGCCATTAACTTACCGCTCAGTTTCCCCTGATTCTCCCTTTTACCATTGCCCCTAATTTTTTCAGCTCTTTCATGCCTTGTGAGATTCTCACCGTTAGCGGATTTCGATTTCTTGAGCTTGAGCAAGAGCACCCTGAATTTCGTAGCTGATTTCACTAAAAATATGGGTAATTTTGAGCTTTCTTCAGATGACCCGCTCAATAAAATGCTCGAAGGCTCAATTGAAACCAAATTCCCCTTGAAAAACAGCTTATCCGAAGGGGAAAGCGCCGCCGCGGCCTGATCCGCGCAATCGTTGCTCGCGAGAGCAAATTTAAGCTCTCCTCCTCCATCTTCATCTTCTTCTTCTTCTTCTTCTTCTTCTTCTTCTTCTTCTTCTTCGTCATTGTCATCATTTTCATGCACTGAGATTTCTTCAGCGTCGGACTCGCTTTCTGTTTCGTCCTCATTTTCTGTTTCTGAGGATATTTGGTCATTTTGGTGCGATTTCGCCGGCGGTGGTTCGTCGGCGTCGCTATCCTGGTCGGGAAGGGAGAATTCCAGGTCGAAGTAGGGCCCGTCCTCGCCGTCGGAGGAGTAAGGGCTGGCGGCGGAGATACGGGCGGAGACGATTTCGGTGGTGGCGCGCGTGTCGGCGGTGGAGTTTGCGGCGGAGATGGTAGTGGTGACGCCGCCGGCGCTAGAACGCCAGTACTTGAGCAGGCTGAAGGCGTCCATTGTTGGTAGAGCCAGTATGTAGTGAGTATGCAGATTTGGGGAAGGTTTGCTTTATTTCTGCAGTGTGTTTGTGTGTGTGTTAAAATAACTTGGGGAAAGAAAAAGATGATGGTGGCAGAGGGGCTAAAGTAGCAATTGCAAAAGTTTGTGGGGTGAGTTTGGCAAAATCAACGACTGCTTTTTAGAAAGACGACTTTGACAATAATAATAACTTTGTCATATTCTCGAATTTAATAATTTTTTAAACAAACGCATACATTATAATGCCCCATTTGACCGATCATTTAAATTCACCAATTGTTTCGAGGAAAATGTTTATCCTACAAAATATATTATGTCTAGATCGTGCTCAAATCTATTTAATTACAAGTTCAAATGAATCGGTACAAATTACAATAATATGAAAATGACTGTAAATGATTTAAGAATAAAGCTATTTGAAATAATTATTTGAATAAAGGATAACAAAAAATAAATGTACATTTATTAGTTATAGATTTTAAAAGTGACTACGATACAACAAAAAATACAACTCTACCATCCCATTAACATTAATTGCGTACTTACTTAACACATTAGATTTAATTAAATTAATTTCTACTATCAGTTACCATAATATCCAACGTTCCCCCTTAATTTGCGCCTGATTAATATTCCAACGTCCCCTTAACGCTTGATTACTGTTTCACCTTATTAAAAAAAAACCCAAAATTAACGTCCAAAAACTTGGAAATTATACACTCAGAAAGTTTATTGTGAATTTGAATCCAAAAACAGGTTGATCGAAAATCAGAAAAACTGTATATGTTTAGTTTATATAACGTATATATTACACATATGAACTGTATATGTTTAGTTTATTTAACGTATATATTATTATACATAATGTTTACACATACGAAACTGTATATGTTTAGTTTATATAACGTATATATTCTCATTCACTGCAATTAATTGCGTGCTTTTAAGGATGAGGACGGAGAAATCTTCAGAGAAGTCTGCAGAGGAGGATAAGGATGAGGATGGAGCTTCTAAAGAGGCTAAAAGAAAGAAGAGAGAGAAGGAGAAGAAGAGAGAAGCGAAGAAGGAGAAGAGAAGAAGGAGAGAGAAAAGAGAGAAGTCCTGGTGCGACCAATGAAGAAAAAAAATTCAGACAGATGGAGAGAGGAAGGAGAAAAAGAGAGGGGGAAGAGAGAGAAAGATTGTGATAAAAACGAATCGTTATTTGACTTCTTATAAGGATTAAATCTCAAACATCTGCCCATTATCCATAAAAAATCAACTTACCTGTATTAAAATTTAATCAATTTTTATAAGTTTGCAATTAAAAATTTTGTCTCGTAACTATACAATTAAAAAAAGATTATGTCGTGCCTTAGGTAACTATCTCTTCCGTATTAGGTTCAATAATTACTAGTCGGACCAGTACTTGAATTTGCTAGATTAATGTTCAATTTATTAATGTTTTATATAATGAATATACTATTTCGTGATATCAATAATATTACTTAAATACTTAGACGAATTAAAATATACAAATGCTTAAACTAAATAATAAATAATTTAAACACAGATCATTATATTTAAAATATATTTTTCACTTATATCAAAAGTATTTTTTAATATAAAATTTTTTAAAAAGTTTGACTGATCCCACCAATGGGTTTTTGGCCGGTTTGTTGCCGTCCAATTTATTTTACCAAACCGATCCAATCCTATTTGAAAACAGTGATCACGATTCAATTATTTTGTGCATACAATTGTTAAAATCAACAAATTACCTCTCTCTTTATGTCAAACCTGACATATTCTTATTTTTTATCATACCAAATGCAAAAAGCTTTACAGTCATATGAACTTTGGGCTAAAAAAAAAATAATTATGAACTTTGGGCTCCAAGAGGTGATGCAAAATATGAGTAAAATAAACCTTTTTGGCTTGGGTAGAAAAGGAAGTTTTGGATAAACTCAGACGTCAATGAAAAGAAAAGGCTGCTTTGCATGTACACTTTCATTTGGTTTTTTATATTTGATTTTCATATGGTAAAATAAATGCCAAATTATACAAATTTGTTACTTCTCCATTGGCATCTGTTTAATCTGGAGATATAATATGGTATGGTCTCAAAAGGCCTTCCAATATCGGAGGAAACCTAGTAGCCATCTAATATAGATTACCTTTAGAAGCCAATTGGTAATTAACCTAGCGAGTAACTCCATTAATCTAATGCTGAAAAACTCATGATTCACATATCTTAGCGGTCATTGGCTGCCAACAATAAAGATTATTGAGTGATCATGTTTATAGACATAGGTTTACCTCTCCCTAAAGTTTCTCCATAACTTCATAATCCTGCTAAGACCATCTCAAATGTTCTAATGTTGTTATAGATTAAATTATGACAAATATCAATAAATTAAATAGATTGTGAACCATGTAGGAATAATGTTAAGTTCACAACTATGAAATTTAAAAATCATCTCCAATGCACAATGTAGTCTAACTACAATATTATCTACTTACTAATTATTAAAATTTTAATAAAAGGTTACAAAATTAATTAAATAATTAAATAACTTAAAAATGGTAAGAATACTTCTCTCTTTTCTGTTCATTGGCTAGTTAGGGTGTGGAAGAGAATGTGGATGAACCACATTCTTCTCTACATTGTAGACATTAATTATGTCCATATCACCACAACATTTGTGAACACATTGTACATTGGAGGATGAAAAGTTGTGATATTACTAATATGTTGATGTGGCATGTAATTTACCACAAGAACATCTTCGTAGGCGGCCGTTATAAGAGATTTCCTTTTCTTTCCCAGTCTTCCTTTCCAAATTAACTTTCTTTAATAATCCACCATTATTTCAATTTGTGATTGTTAAATATCAATAATCCCTAGAGTTTTTCATAACTCGAGCATTGTTAACACTAACTCGAGCTACAAGTTTATAATCCTCTCCAACTCGAGCGTGGTTAGGCTCATTTTCTAAATAATTATGGTTTTCAATGGCATTTATTACCTTACACATATTTTATATTTCAGAATATCACTTGTTAGTTGTCTCATATTTATGGGGTCAATGAGCTTAGTTTATAAGTCTAGTGAGTTACTGCTCCCATCACCAACTGGTTTTATTTTATATTTTAATATTAAGATGGTACCATATGAATAAAAATTTAACATAATAATTAAAATAAGTAGATTTCATTAAAATCAAAAGTTTACAACGCACATAAATCACAAAATACATAAATAAAAACAACACAATTCAAATACAAATTACTCAAAATCTACGAAATACATGATAAAATTTTTATTTAAGTAGTCTCCCAATCTACTTCCAAACCCGTCAAGATCTTGAAAAAACTTCCTGAAAGAACTAAAAGTGTTATTGGCTTGTGATGTCTGCGATGATTGTCCTTTTCTTTTTCTCAAAATTCATTCTTGCTCATTGAAAATATTCACGACGACGATAATCTTGTATGGAATTCAAATCCATCATTAAAATTTTATTTTCCTCTTTCCATGTGTTTTTCTCAACAAATTGTTTTCGAAATTCATTTTCTTGCTTCTGGATTTCAATTTTTTGCCTGATCATCTCACTTTATGGATTCCTCTTCATTGGCGAGCTTATTTTATCTATCTAAATTTTTTATTTACCTCTTTCATTGTTTTTATAACTGTAGATACGTCTTTTCCATGTTTTCTCTTAAATTTTGATTTTTTAACACCTATTGGTTATTGTGATGACGAACCACCACTTCCTTTTACATCGCATAAATTAATGAAAAATTAAATAGTTCTGGATTAGATGAAATGAGAGACTCGGACTGTGCATCTGGTTGTAGTTGAAATGAAAACGTATTTCGCCTTGTTGATGTGCACCCGAACAATGAAAAATATTTTATAATCAACCACACATGCCCGTAATTGAATGGTCGATTACTTTTATTTTTTAGGCTTTGATATAAAGTATATTTCACGCTCTATCTACAATGTGAAAATAAATAGCATTAAAAAGTATTAATATGTTTATAAATATAATTAAATAATGCGTGTAAAATTTCTTACAACATCATGTTCAGAAGTTCCAATGATATTTGCATTTTCAATTTGCTCCACACAAGATTTGATAAGTTTAATAGCGGTACTAATATTTTCCATGCGACATTGGATTGATGTTCGTGGACGATCAGGCCACATTGGATTGGGTTTTGTAGAATTATACTCGTTCATTACAGGGAATCATAATTGATCTCTACTTTGATCTATGCCAGCATCTAAATCCTAAGAAATTTCTATATAGGATCGACGAAGGTGTTGATCTTCACTCAAAGTATAGTTTGATCCTAGACCGACACAAGTGTGGATCTTCACTGACAATATGTTGGATCCCATAAGGGAAACTACTATAAGAAAATTAATTTAAAAAGTATTAAAAAAAAATGCCAAATTGTATTGTGGTGGTACAATATTTTACGTTACATGTAGAGTATTTATAGTATATTTGATTCTCATTCATAAGAAATATCCGTGATAGGAAATTTGATTTACAGTTCAGATAAAAATTGCGAATTTTCTTATCTACATCGAAAATCAAGATTTTACGACTCAAATTAAAAATTGTGAATTTCCTTATCTACGATATCAATAGTACAATAAAAAATCAAAATTTTACGGCTCAAATTAAAAGTTGTAAATTTTACGTTTCAAATTAAAAGTTGCTCTATAGAGTAATAAATCTATGCAAAGTACTATATTGACTACTAATGCACATGAAATATAGTGAAA